GGGACGCAAAGACTTCAAGATCCTTTGATTATTATCCAACATCCAATAAATACTTGATAAAGCTTTACAAAACCTGAACAATGCATTCGTGAGTCCTTTATATGAAGTGGCACTGTGTTGTTGTTTGTTTTTAGCAATACAAAACTTTTTTGCACTTCAAAGAGACAAATAGAAGCAAATCAATGTTTGACTGTCATTTTGACCAAGTGTGTATGTGTGTACCGAACTGTAGATGACACAGCAGCTTGTAGTGGGGGTTATTCTCTGTGGTTGGTAGGGTCTTGGGGGTGGGTGTGATCGCCTGAACAGAACTTGGGGGGGTGACACAAATGGCAGTGAGGTGAAGAGGTCGCTAACATATTTCTGAAATGCACAGAAGTCAGAAGTGTTTAGGCTCAGTGATCCAATCAGCACCTGATCACTTAATGGATTTAAATTGTGTGACTCCAAATGTAAATTGGACTGCATCCCTTATATTTTTGTATAAGCTGATGTGCACACCCTCTGTGCTCACTGTCGGACATAGTTCATTCAGATTGTAAAGACAACAGCTAGTCTGAATCAACATTTTTTGTGGTGTACCACAGGTCCTGAGAACCTCCGCAGGCCCCCCCTGCATACTGGAGAGCCAGGGCACACAGAGGGCATTCACACCTTGTTAAGTTTTACAACTGGTGCATTTGTCGGTCCCAGGCTTCTATTGCCCCTGTGACTTGTTTCTCTCTTTGAAGTGACCTTCTCTGTCAGCTGAGGTGATGGAGTCATTTAGGGTTTTCTCTGAACAATGTAAATGCAGCACATCTTAGAGTGCATATGACAGGCTGGAAAACACACTGTAAACTGGGATGAGATTATCTTTTGAGACAAGGGTGAATGCAGCATAATTTCAGTTCACTACAATTTAATTCATATATCTTTGTAGTTGTATTGCTGATTCCTATCTATAATAGAAGCCTTAAACTGTTTGTAGCACAGTATTTGCCAGAAACGCAGTAACATCACTACAACACATACAACAGGTTGAATCCACAACATATTTATAACAACTATACAGATTTTTATTATGTCAACACAACTTAGCGATAGAAGTAGAAAACATTTTATTGGGACATGAGTGAGTCTAAGCACACAGACACTTAATTTCTCTTGAGATCAAATTCAGAAGGCTTAACTGCATTGCCAAAGGACTCTTCAATATGGGTTTTTATGTCTTCCAAAGAATTGGCCAAAGAAAGATCACATAAATATAATGCTGCATGCTAATGAGGGCAAACACACAGGCCATTGGTGATGGTGGAGCAGGGGGATGGACCAGACCATCCACTTGCTTGATGTACAGGTCTTCACAACGTTCAATTGACGTTCCCCGGGGAGGTTCACAGAGATTCGATGTATCTGCATGTTTCTGAGCCTCACTTACAAATCTTTCCCTCACTTGCTTTGACAGTTAGTGACAGGCCCTATTTCTGCCTACTCCTGGAAACCCCACTGTAACAGCCTGCAACTGAGAGCTGTCATGTTTTAATCATAAAACTCCATCATATACAAAGTTGTAATAAGTTGATTCATCCATCCATCCATTATCTATACACCGCTTAATCATCA